TTACTCACATCCCGTAGTAAGATATCATGTTTCCAAGCGAGGTGTAGAAATCTAAACTCATGAGAAAGAGGTCATAAACTCCTAAAACCTTTGGATCTTAACATGTGTTCAGAAATAAGAGGCTTACCAAGTCACTAAAGCGTGAAATGATCCCTAACTCACATCCCATAGTAAGATGTCGTGCGTAAGAGCGGGGTGTGGAAACCCAAAGACAGATTAAAGAGGTTATTAACTCTTTAAACCTTAGAGGGGATTACGTAACCTTAATCGAATGATAGATGATCATTCTCTATTCGTAATGGTTGGAATCCTTAAGTTGTTGCATGTCTTAAATGTTAGCTTGGGGTTTTGTGTTGGCTTGGCTAACATCCCTCTGATTCTTGTGTCAGTACTATTCTTAAAATAAAAATACACAACAAAAAGAAATTAGGATAAGGAGTCGTTAGGTACCTTGACTCAGTTTTGATGAAATATTATTAAATTGACTTACGTAAACTACGCTTCAAGGTGTTTAACATTTCACGATCTTGTCAAGATTCTTCATTCTAGGGTAGCCACTAAATATGCCACCATTTTTCTTTTAAATCAATGAGATAGGCATCATACATCCGAGCATGTAGCAAGGCATATTTTTTCATGGTTGGCCAATAGTCTCCTGTTCTTAGCACTTTAGATCACAAGGATTTGTCCTAAGTGTGGTTTCCATAATCCCGTTCATGTATATCTTTTTAGATATTCTACGGCTTCTTAGTCTTAGATATGGAAATGTTATGGATTTCTTGTATAAAAATCAATGGATCATAATAAAGCAAAAGGTCGTCATATTCAATACTTTATTCGTTTTGTCTTGTTTTCGGATTGTACCATTCTTGGGATACTTTATGATAGGTTGTGTCTAGGAACTCAAATGTCTCAGAGGATCCTGTATGTTTGGATCAGAATCTTGGTTAGCGGATCGAGGAATTGGGCCTCCAATTGCTGCTATGTTGGTCATCTGATCATCATCTTCAGGGTCTTCTAGTCTTCTAGAGAGATATTCTATCATCAAGATCATACGTGGGTTATTAGGATCCTCATCTCTAGCAAGGTCCTGAGGGAAGACTACAAGCTGGCTAAAGGATCTGCCTCGGTGTTATCTTCTCTTAGAACTTGATTCAGACAACAAACTTCAAATTCGGGGACTATTTTTTTAAGAATTTGAAGGTATAGTACTAGGCTTTCTCCTTTAACTAAATATAATCAATTAAAATCGTTAGTTATTAATAAAGAATCGATATACTCTTGAAGATCCTTGATCTAAAGATCCTTGGCTAGTTATAGTTCCATGATCTGTGCTTCATACTCTACTTGATTGTTAGTTGCTTTAAATTAACAACTAATTGTCTAGGGTAGTTTTTCCCCCTGTGGTTATTCTAGTATGATCCCAAGGCCTGCTTCATTACATTTTGATGCTCCATCTATAAAGGGTATCCAATCCCTCATGTTTTCTTTTTCTTGAAGTCATTGATTTTATAACTCTACATCAGGTTGTTGATCACCACTAAAATAGGACACAAAAGTTGCTAATGCATGTGAATTTATTGAGGATCTTGGCTCATATGTGATGACCTTCACTGATGAGTCAGCCGTTCTACCTGACATTTCTGGTTTTCTCTTGACATTCTTAATAGGATAGTTAGTTTTCACATGTATAGTATGAGTTTCAAAATAATGTCTTAATTTGGTAGAAGTTGTACCTAGTGCAAGTATTTATTATTAAGGAGAGAGTACCTAGTTTCAGGATCCAAGAAACTTTTACTTACGTAGTAAATAGGTTGTTGCTCGCCATAAAGATCCTTGGCCAGGACTCACTTCTATTCCCATCTTGGTGACCATATAACCAAGGAACTTTCCTTCCTTCATTCGATATTGATATTTGGATGGGTTTAGCTTCATGTTGTATTTATCTAATATATCGTACGCTTATTCAAGATACCTAAGATGATCTTTAGCTCTTGTGGATTTTAACACCATTTCATCAATGTAGACTTCCATTGTGTCCTAGTTTGTCGTGTAGGGGTCATTGAGGTAGTATCCTCTTGATTGGATGGTTTCATTTATATCCATTAGAATCCAGCCTAGGCATCAATGAATGTTAGTAATCAATGGCGTGTCGTGGAATCTATCATGGAGTCGATGTGTGGTAAAGGGAAAGGATCCTTAGAGCAAGCCTTATTAAGATTCGTGTAGTCCACACATACTTGACAATTTCCGTTATTCTTTAGAAATACCACCATGTTGGCTACACATCTTGGGAACTTGACTTCTGTAACCATTCATATTTTAAGAAGTTTTTCAACTTCCTCTTGGACAATTTGATCCCTTTTGGGTGCGAAATTTCTTCTATTTTGATGTATGGGTATAAAAGAAGGATCAATGTTATGTTTATGAGTTATAATTTTCTAATCTACACCTGTCATATCCTCATGCTTCCACGCGAAGGGCTTGCTTCAGTCTTTTAAGAACATTATTATTTTATTCTTGATTTGTTCTGGTATTTAGTACCCTATGAGGACATTGGCTTTAGGATCCTTATGATTTAGGACATTTTCCTTCATATCATTTAGTCTTGTTTCTAGTACACCTTGTGCCCCCTGCCTTAACTGCTTTTCTTTTCTTGGTACCGACGAAGGATTTGTTAAGGTTTTGTAGCATTATTCGGATTCTAGTTGATCACCTATGATACTCACTGTCCCTGAAGGGTTAGGCGTCTTGACGCATTGATGGTATGTTGATGGAACCTATTTTGTGTTTTGGACTCATGACCTACCTCTTCAATGTAGATATGTAGTTTGATCTTTCCAATTATACGCTTTGTTTGATCGCTAAATCCTATTAGTATTGAGGATCTCTTGATTATCTCAGATTCTGGTATGTTCATCCTAGTCAAAGGTTTTAAGAGTATGATGTTCACTAACAATCCTCTATCCACCAGGATCCTCCTTACAAATCAATGTAAAAAGTTATCACCAATATATCATGATGAGGATCCCGGGTGTTTTTTCTATCCTTTTACTCAAAGATTTTCTCCTTATTTTTTGTTATCGACATGTTCTCTTTGGGTCTTTCTTCCCTTTCTATCTTCGCTGCTTTGGCGTGCCTTATAGCTGCATTATAAGAAGTTCCACAGATGTCAGATCCTCCAGAAATAAAATTGATTACTTTAGCATCATGAGGTGAGGATCCTTGTTTTTCCAAAATCCTGGCAGGATCCTACTGCTCTTCATTCATTTTTTTTGTCTTCCTAGGATATCTTTAAGGTGTCGATTGTTTAAGAGATAGCTAATCTCTTTTCTGAGGGCTACGCAATCCCTGGTGATGTGGCCAAAATCATCATGGTATGCACACCATTTAGACTTGTATTTCTAGCCACTCGATTTGTCTCCTTTACTTGCCCACTTTGGTTTTTCGCCAACATCCTACATGGCAATGACTAAACCTGAAACATTCACATAAAAAACAATAGTCAATGATTCTTTAGAATTCATTATCCTCTCTTTCATCTTCAAGGGAATTAACCCTATAATGATTAGGTTTGGAACATGGTTTTGATTTATAGGATCTGAGGGTCGAGGACTGAACCTTCCTATTGGTATTATCATATGAACTTGATGAGCTGCTCCTCCTTTGGATCTCCTTATATTCTTCCATCCTGATGAACCTTAGTACTCTGCTTCTGAGTCCATCCATTCTTTTGCATGGAGTTATTATAAGGTCTTCGTATAAAGGATGTTCTTTCTTTAGGCCCATTTTGAAGGCTTACATAATAGTTGCCATATCAACGTTGGGATAGTCAAAGCTTTTGTGAGAAACAATGACTAAGATTGGTAGATTCTATAGTGAATAGCATGAAATAATTAACAATAAAAATGATCAAAATAGTGCCAAATTCATAGATTATAAATAACCCTAAAAGAGTTGAATGAGAATTTTCCTGTAAGAACTTTTTGGTGCGACTAAAATCGTTAACCCTAATAATACATGCATGCAATATTTATAGGCTAGATGATAAGCACAAACATGAGAACGGATAGGCCCATCTGGGTAAACGTAAACCTATACATGACATATTTGACAAAACATTAATAAGCCCAACAATCTCCCCTTTTGTGTCAAATACCGAAGGAGATTCATAACTGTTGTTTCTTTTTTACCTTGAACAATCTTGGAATGAAATTCAAAAGAGTGTTCCGAATAGCAAGATACCACCGAATCTTAACAGAATAACATTTCTGATCAGCAATGTTGTTGGCTTTGCAGGCTTCAATCTATCCGAGGATAGAATTCAAAGCAGCAATTTTATATAAGTGCTTGTCTCAGAAGAAAAACATGTTGTTCTAAACTATCTGATTTTCCTTCATTTGGGACTCCACGCGCCAATTGTCTTTTCAAATTTTTCCCCACTTGAACTTATGAAGATACTCCAGTTCTAGCTCGAGCTTCAGAATTTCAATTTTCTTCAACACAGATGCTATTTTTACATCCACTTTGGCAATCTCATGAATGTAGCAAATCAACATCCTCCTCAGGTGTGCAACGATCAGTTCAAAACTCTTTTTATCTTTTTACACAATTAAGGATAATGAAAACGAGTCATATGGATTCATGCAAGGTAGGTCATCCAGGGTGAGCTGATCTTCAATTCGACTTGCTCCTCTGAATCCTTTAAACTTAACGTTTATGAAGTCTTCAGCCGGAACAGGAGCATAGACCTTCACCGAAACAATCTTCTAGGAAATCAATGTTTGGGACTGAGGTTTAGCAAATTTAAGGTCGAAAGAGAAGTGGTTATGATTGAAACCATAATTCGAGAGTGGTGTCTTCTCAATCTTCTCAAAACAACTAAACAGAAATGCCCTCAGTGCTATAAGGAAATCAAGTTGAGATTCCGGAAATTTATCCAGATCAAAGGAAACTGAAGGCTCCAACCAATATATATTCGAATCATCGATGGCCTCCTTCTAAATTTGATCCATTGTCCACGGAGGAAAGAGCAACTTATGAGTCTCAAGAGTTGCATTTTCAACTTCAACTTTCTTTTCCTTATCTTCTAACTCTTTACGAAGATGCAACAAATTGTCAAGCTCCTTGTCACACTTCTTTCTGACCAACTTTTCACCTTCTGAAAGCTCTTCTTCGTTTTTGTAATCGTAAATCCTTTCTTTACATTTACAAGATGCAAAATCTTCAATACCCATATTCTCATTAGGCTTCGGTTTTGCATCATGTTGTTCACCAGTTGTTTTCATCGGCTGAGGTTCTTCCCACTTTACCTTTTCTCCCCATTGTTTCATAAGAGCACTACAATCTAAAACAACATCAATACCCTTCTGCTCATTAGGCTTCGGTTTTGCTTCATGTTGTTCACCATTTGTTTTCGTCAGCTAAGGTTCTTCCCAGTTTACTTTTTCTCCCCTCTGTTTCATAAAAGTACTACAATCTAAAACACCCTCAAGTTGATTGAGCATCCCAAAAACTAGCTGAAGCTTTTCTGTAAGATGGTTGCAAAGTGAGATTGTAAGAATGGAGTCACGAGTCTCCACAAGCCTATGCAAGAATTCATTAATCTCATAAACACAACTTTTGACAACTATTTTCTCTGAGTCAAGATAATCAAGATGTGTGTTCGTGTACAACAACTTTATTGAGAGAACCTTGATTTTCGCATTCTTCTCAGCCAATTTATCCATAAGGTTGTTCTCTACTGCAAATTCTTTATGAAGTTTCTCAATCTTAGACACAATAAACACTTTGAGTTCGGAATTATCAACCTTTATTTCAGATTGAACACGAGAAGATGCTTCCTTCTGAATGTGTTGACTGGAACCAAGACTTTTAATGACTTCATTAACAGCTTTAGTATTTTCATCTGAATGGTGTCTAAAGTCAGCCATGAATTTGGTTATATCATCAATTAGTTTTTCGGACTTTGAAGTCGTTTCGAAAATGTTTTTCTCAGAAGCTTGAATTACCTTGGTCGTTTGACCAAAATTCAGATGATAATTGTGAATCTTGTTTGCTTGGGAAAATGACAAAGCCACCCTTCACTAGTACTTGAGCTAGGGGTGAGGGTTTGCTGTACCTCATACACACTGATGTGTGTGGATCCTTCAGAACCGCCACAAGAGATGCTAACCGCTTCTATGTGACGTTTACTAATGATTTTAGAAGATATGGATATGTCTACTTAATCAAGCAAAAGTGAGAGACCTTTGAAAGATTCAAAGAGTTCAAGCAGGAAGTAGAGAATCAGTTGGGCAAGAATATTAAAATGCTTCAATCAGATCGAGGTGGTAAGTATCTTAGTACATATTTCCTTGACTATCTTAAGGAATGTGGGATAATCTCAAAATTGACACCTCCCAGCACACCACAGCTTAATGGTGTGGTTGAGAGGCACAATCGAACCTTGTTGGATATGGTTCATTCCATTATGAGTGAAGCTTCACTGTCAATCTCATTTTGGGGGTATGCCTTATAGACTGTCGCCCAAATCCTTAATCTAGTTCCTACAAAGAAGGTTGCCAAAACACCTCATTAGATGTGGACTGGAAAAGTTCCCAATCTGGACAACATCAATATTTTGGGATTCCGAAGCTTTTGTGAGGTGCAAGTCCCACAATAAGCTCAAACCTCGAAGTGAGAGGTGTATTTTCATCGGCTACCCATAAAGATCCTTTGGTTACCTCCTCTACAAACCTAGTGATAATGTGGTCTTTGTAGTAAGGAGAAGAGTCTTTCACAAGAGAGAATTGATGAGCCAAGGAAACAGTGGGAGGCAAATTGACCTTGAAGAAATTAAAGAGCCAAGTGGTGAAGGAACCTCATGTTGAGTTATGAGCATTCTAACACTCCTAGGTGTACATGCAACCCTAAATACCTTGGATATGTTTTCTCTATTATGCATGCAAATATGAACATCCAAGGTATTATCCTAATCTAGGATACAAAACTATCAATATAACAAGATAGAATACATACCTCTTTGATTTAGAATGTTTTCATGAAGCTTGAGTGCCTAGTGCCCCAAGTGTGACACATCAAATGATTCACACAACACCAAATACACTTGGAATAACTTGAGAGAATTCTACACTTCTTGAAAATCGGCTAGCCCTCTCTAGAAAAATACTAGTGTCGATTTTGTCAAGAATAAGATCTTTATATGGTGTTACAATTAGGGTAAACCCTAATTGTCATGAATTTCCATTTCCTTGGATCCATGGGTTCAAATACACCATGGAGCATCCATGGACCATCATATGGGTTTTGGCCCAACTAGATAATCCATGGAGCATTAGCCCACTATACAAGTATGTATGATTTACACAATCAATCTATATATTTAATTAGTCTTCTTTTGATCACTTAATTAATCCTAGATTAATTCTTGATCAATACTAATTAAATAGTCTTATTTCTCTCATTATAGTCTATCCAAGTGCATGATGCCATGCAACCCAAATGGACCATGCCGGGTCGGGTCAAGTCTTACCAATTATAGTTATGGACTTAGACATTAATTCGACAGTCTCCCACTTGGATAAGTCTAAAACTATTATTACGTATGACTTCAGGAACCAACTGGCAATCGTAGCTCTCAAAAGCTTCTGTCGAACTCTGACCTTGTCGATAAACGCTGACCTTCATCAATGACTTGTGCATTAGATAAGGGATCATATATTCCTCCATTCTAGATATCAAATGGACTGAGACATGGATTATAATCATTCTCTCTGTCCATTTGTTGTTTCCTAATTTCCGATTTATGATGTCTGACTAATTGAACAAATCAAATCAGTCCTGGCCCGGCCGAGCACTTCCATTTGTCATCATCAAATCATCGAGGGGCCCACAGATATCGCTTTTATCCCGAAGGTAAAAGGAATGGATAAACTTCAACTCATATGGCTTGTTCTACTACTTGTTGAATCATACACAAAGACACGTTTTATACCACCGAGTTACCAAATGCGGTTCCATGCAATCAATGTACTATCAACTCATAGTAACAACTCATATCTCTAGGTTTGAAGAATATAAGATATTATCGTCTCATGATCACTCGTTATAAAATCCATGAAGTGATTCCAATGAGTGCGGGTTGAATCCAATACTCAGAACTTATGAGCACTCATGAGTGTTGTAGCCCTTTGTCCAACACCTTAAACATCTACAAGCCAACCCATGACAGTCTTAATTCATATCTACTTCCAACATATGACTATGGATGGTTTTGAATAACTTAGTCATTCCGGAAGAATAACCTAGTTTATTCGGGAAGTCAAAACATGAAAAGTGAAACACAAGAATAATTGAATCCAATATTGTATCAAAACCTATGAACATAAATAAAACACCTTTTATTTATCATCATATGATTACACATTATTCATTGTATACTGTTTCAACTATCAACTTTATTCTTGAATTTAAAACAATAGTTGTCCCATGCTCCAAGCATGTACACTATGTTTTTTTTTCCTTTTTTTTCTAAACACTAGTCATGCCACACACCAAGTATGCATACTATGTTTGTCTATGATCTTTACTTTGTGAACTAGATCAATTGAACATAACTTCAATGATTCTCTTTTCCCAAATCCTTACTGCAAATGCAAGAATTCCAAATTCATGCCATTTACTGAAATCTGTTAGATTCTAACCTTATATGCATTAATCCTCTTGTAATGATTATGCACAAAGTCATAAAGACTTGACAAAAAAACATTACAGAGCATTCCAAAGGAGATCAACTCCTTCGAAACATCCTTCTTGCATTAAGTTTCCTTAATCTTACACAGATTGAAAATTCTAACTTTGAATCATTTCCAGATTCCATTTTGACTATCACTTCTGAACAAGAGTTGCCTCCTTACAGATTATGTCAATATGGTCCTTCCAGAATTATCACTATACTTCCAACTGTCCTTGAGCAACCAATCTTTGGTAAACCTTAGATTGTCCTCGACAATTGTTTAATCCTTTTAGTCATATCCAGTTCTAAACCTTTTCCCTTCTTAATGCCCCAGGCATTTGGAAAATTTTAGAAAGGATGGATATAGCACATATAATCGATCCTATATCCGAAGCATATGGGACACGATTCATGATGTCTCACATAAAGACTAAACCAGTCTTTTGCTATAACATTTCCATTTCTATTTGCCAAGTTCTCATAATTCAGATTATGAAAAGGGATGTCGTAATCATAATCGAATATATATATAGAATTTCCTTATGTTGAGCCATTCCAACATGAAATTCATATATATTTCCTTGACTAAATGATTAAAACCTCACGATCTAAGCTTATAGATTTGAGATGAAGTATAATTTCCTCTCCCTTAATTATAGCAAAACAACTTTTTCCTAATTGAAACCTTTTGTTTTCTATAATTAACATTCCTAACTTGCAATCTTTATCATAATTATAATGCTCCCACTAACATGATGATTATTAGCATAACACTTATGCTCCCACTAGCTTTGACATGTACTCAGAAATCAGCTGGACTTCTAGAAATCAATACTTTATTGACTTTCTTACCAAAGTTCAGATTTCTGATAATGGATTGTTTTGACAGAACTTTATCAAAATCATACACCTTCCCTTATATAGCACACTTGTGTGTCTAAACAATTATGAAGAGGGATGTCGTAATCATAATGCGGTTAGACCTTTTTGCCACTTCTCACAAGTCCAGGTTAGTGTGCCGGTAAACCACACACGCTCCACTAACGACTTTGAGAATGAAAATATCAAAACTGCTATCTAACTAAAATCTACTTAGTGAAAGTGTTTCCTCACCATCATTTTCATGAATCGGAGAGAAACCTTATGACACTTATGTGTTCTTATCCATCTGCATTGTCAAAACCATAGTCACAAGACAAGGATAATGACAAATCCAAACTCATATGGACTGAACTCAATCTTAACTTCTTGCCACCTGGCAGCTCAAGGTCCTGCCATTGCTTCCAAGTTTTTGTGCAACCAATTGAGAACTCTAAGAGCTCAAATTTAACTGGAATGGGCACAGACTATGTCAACACGATAGGTTATAAACCTCAAGTCGTATGCTAGTGAAGAACTTTAGGTTTTATTCTTGTGTAGCTCTTGAGACTTTCAAGACCTTTAAGACTCCCACAGCCCACTTGACCAATAAGACTACCTTGTCAAACATCCAAGAGATAGTGTGGATTCTAACCAAGACAAACACTTCACATAGTTGGCCTAAGTTGGTCTTTGTTTTATCCAAAACATCAAAACTTACCAACTTCAAATGAACAA